ATTTGTGCTTGCTGCTGGTTGCACAATTCCGAGGGGGGTGGGGCGGGGCAACATCAATCAGAAATCAGATATGGTTCTGCTGGGATGAGTTGTCAACTGCACTCCCGGTTGCTGGTCAGAGTTCGAGTGACATCCTCATCCCGAGTGTCCTTGAACTTTGATTTCGAATTGGAAATCCTGCACTCTAATTCAGTTAAATTTTCAGCAACAATTTGTGTGCCAGGTTGCATGGAAAATTGTGGAAACTAATCAGAAATATTTCCATGTCAAATAATTCGAATGGAATGTTTGAAATTGATTTGCTGCGGGCTCTCGCGTGTGGCCTTTCCGCCGAACAATGCATCCATTGTCTACCTAATTTAGATGCAAACAATAGAAAATTCAGTTACAGATGCATTCATATTTGAGCTAATAATGGTGTGTGAGTGTGCGAATGGATTGGATGTACATATGTATGCAGAAAGTTGGGGGAAAGCCCAGCCCCATTTAATAATCGAGAATTTTTCAATTTTTTAACCATAATCTGCTTGCTGAACTCCAGAAATAGCGGAAAAAATAAATAAAAAGAAAATAAGAAAATAAATAAAAGAAATAAAAATATAAACAGAACTAATTAAATAAAAATAAATACAAAAATAAATCAATTAAAATATATGCAAAACTAATTAAATACAAATAATTTAAACAAAATGAATAAATAAAAATATATACAGAACTAGTTAAATAAAAAATAAATAAATACAAATATATACAGAACTAATTAAATAAAAATAAATACAACTATAAATGAATTAAAATATATATAAAACTAATTAAATTACAAAATTAAAAAAAAATGAATGAATTAAAATATGTATATACAGAACTAATTAAATAAAAATAAATAAATAAAAATATACACAGAACTAATTAAATAAAAAAAATTAATATAAAAAAATTAATACATTTTTAAATAGAAATAAATAAATAAAAATAAGTAAATGAGAATAAATAAATGAGGATAAGAAATAAATATATAAAAATAATTAAATGAGAATAAATAAATGAGGATAATAAAGAAATAAATAAGAATTAATAAAGAAGGTAAAACATAGCTTGTCCAACGTGTCGCCGCTCTCCCTGTCTCTCTTTCCCAGTCTGGCTTAGCAGTCATTTTGTTATTCTTTCGAAACGTGCTGTCAGCACGACACTCTTTTCTTTTCTCTCTCTATTTTTTGGGGCCAACGATTGGATGGGCAGGATAACTGTGTGATGTGGTGGCACACCTTATCTGTGTGCCTCTGCGTGCCACACCCGCACCACAATACATAGGTACATATTTGGTGACTTTTCCGCTTTGCTACTGTCAATATTTAACATTGTCATGTTCCAAATTATGTGCTCCATCCACTTGCCACATGCCACAGGCCACATGCTACTGTTTATTGGTGGGATTATCCTGGGCACCCCCACCCCCATCCCCCGACGCCGCCAGATATTTATTCAGTTTATTTCCAGAGGAGCAGGGAACCCATTTATGCGCTTAATTGAATGCCGTGTAGTGTAATTGAATCTGTGGCGAAGTGCTTTAATTAATTTGCTGCCGACTTGCATATAATTTATACACATTGAAGCGCTGCATTGATCGCTCACGGTTAACGGTTCACGGTTCGGTTTTCCACTCGTTTTCCCGCTCGTTTTCCGCTCGTTTTCCATATGCATACAAGAGTTTTAATTGCAAATTTTTCAATTAAAAACTATGGCGCCCACTGCGCTGCCCTCTCCCTCTCTCCCCCTCTCCCACTGCGGCTTAGCCCAAACGGGGTAGATTTTGTTTATACGATTTCAGAATTGTTTAATTGAATTTTCTGTAACAAATGAGAGCCAGAGAGCGAAAGAGAGAAAGAGAGAAAAACACAAACAGCATCGCATCGAAAGTTCAGAAGTGCAATTAATTTTTGTTCTGTGCTTTTACTGTTTTACTTTTTTACTGTTGTTTGCCTTTGGCTTTCGGTGCTTTTTTCGGCCCCCCCCTCTCTCCGTTTCAGCTTTTATTCTCAATTAATTTGGCCCAGGGCTATAAATCAGGCAAAAGCGGTGACAATTTAAGCGATTCTTTTCCCCTTTATTTGCACTTTTTTATGCACTTTTTGCTGTTGCAACAAATGGGATATTCAAGGGAAAGTTTAAAATGGCGAATGGATAACTCTCTGGATGAATGGGGAAACTCCTCTGCTCTGGGATAGCCAGAGGGACGGCTCCCTCCTCTCTGTTGCACATTATCGTAGTTTATGTCTGTGGCACGGAAAAAGGTACAGCTGCCATCAAAGGATGTGGCGCCTCTCTCTCTCCCTCTCTCGGCAAAAGTGTGTGTGCTTTTTTGTTCTTGTCCTGCCGTTGGAATAGTTTGCTCTTCCGCTTCTGTCCATCATTTGGCTCTGTTGTTTCATCTGCCTGGCCTCGCCTCGCCGCCTCACCGCCTCCCACGTCCTTTTGCATTCAATATTCCTGCAGTTCCTCCGGGAGTCCCGCTCTGCCCCCGGCTCTCTGTGCCACGCTTTTCCTTTGCCGTTTTATGACTTTTTCGAACCGGAAATGTTTTCACACGCCTGGCTGCAAAAACAAAGACAGTCCCATGAGACCTGCGCTGCGGCAGGTGTCTCTACAGTGTTTCTAATTTGTAAAAAACGAAAAGAAAAAGACGAAGAAAGTGGCTCAGCACAGACTCAGCGAAGGTCTCCTCCACTTTTGGAGCAGCTCGTATCGAGAAAACCCCGCTTCAAGGACCAGAAAGAAAAAACATATGTTCCACTGCTGCACGACGTTTACCAGCACTAGTTTATCGAACTGGACATCGTGCTCTCTCTCTCTCTCTCTTTGAAATCTAGTGTCATGACAGCTTTAGGCACGGAAATCATGTGCGACAAAGACGGCTACAGTGACTGCATTTGCATTTGTTCCACATTTATAGATGTGTGTGTACCATATAATGATTGCTGCCATGCTGTTCTCCCTCTTCCCTCTCCCTCTCTTTCTCTCTGCCAGTGTGGCTTAGCTCCCCATTCACTTGTAGGGGGAAGCACACATAATGCTCAGCAAATCATGCCTCTGGCCAAGAGCCTCTGCCATTGGCACTTTAATGGAAACGAGGAAGGAAGCTGCTGGTCGACAGCTGCTGGTGCAAAAGTCGAAGCGACTGCTCGATGTGGCTTTTGTGTTGTTTGCGGCTTTGCCACACACAAGCAAGCGACAGCTGCCACTGGCATTGCCACTGGCAGTGCCACTGCCACTGCCACTGCAGTGGTGTCCTGTGAGATTGAGATTTTGCAGAGGTCTTTAATTTCGTTCTTTAAGAGTTGCGCCTAGGCCTTCGTTCGAGCCCTGCCGTCGTCTAGACCTTCAAGTGCCTCTTGCCGCCATGGGGTGTGGCAAGTGAAAAGTCTGCCATTACGGATACGTGCACCTCCTGAATAGCGGCTCCATGTCCCAGACAGGCAGGCAGGACCTCAGTTCCCGGTGACTTCTCACCTTTCCAGCCACCCCTGGGATGGCCCGCAGAGAGGGCGTCTGCCTGGCAGTGCCCCTCCTATGATTATTCAAAGTATTCGAGAGGTATCCCCCCCCTCCCCATTTCCGTTGTGTAAGCAACATCTGTCTCTGATTATCTATTAGTGGAACAAAGTATTACTTTGCGATGCAAATGGCGATCCGATCGTCAGGCTATCGCCAGTCACTTTGGCTGCGTGTTGGCCGCGATTGAGATTTCAATCGAACTAAGGCCCCAAAGCCGATCGGAGCTGCCTTCGTTTTTGGCAGGAGACAAGTTTTGAGTGTTATTTTGTTTGTGATTGTGGAGGTCCCTTCAGTGCTTGTGGATCCTAAAGGATATCTGTGAGTCTTTCAAAGGGTATTCTGTGTGCTCTTAGTGTCGCTTGAATTTTATAGACTCGATTCCAGAGACACATGTATTGCTTTGCCCCAAAATAACAATACAAATCATGAAGCCAAGGCTTAAAGGATATCCCACTGCAAAGCTGGGCGACTTTATGGCGAATGTTGATTAATTTGCGGCTTCTATCGCTGCACCACGCGGCAGCTCTGAGCCTCACACTTAAGTTGTTTTTGCTGTTTTGTTGCATCCCAAAGACGTCAGCAATTGCGTGTTATTTTCGATTTACAATTTTCCATTTCCCCATTTCGTTGGCTGTGATTACGCTGCGGATTGTACGCTGTCATCAGGAAAAAGCCATCATCTATAATCGTTGAAACTTGATAAATGATGGGATGCCCGCTGTGCCCCTCTCGCTGAGGGCCTGTCCCTGGCAGAGAGTGTCCCATAAATAAAGCATAGCCCACTTCTCAGGGCTCTGGTGTGCCTGGGCACAGGTCTGCCTAATTAGTCGCCGAGGAAAATATACCACCGCTAATAGGTTAATAGCAATTAAAATGAATACTTGGAGAGCCCCGATTAGGGTTGTTTAGCCTTGACTTAATCACATAATCAGGTCCATAGACTAAAGTCAGTGGGGCCGCAGGAAGTGATAGGCTGTCCCTGTTTGCAGTGCCCACTGTACCGCATTCTCGTAGCAGCAGCCTCTGCTGCCGCTCTCCCGTGCTCTCCCGTGCTCTCTCTCTTCATCTCGCTGCTTTCTAGCTTTCCTTCGCTCTCGCTCGTGTCGAAGACTCGCTGGCACTCGGCTCGCCCGTCCTCGTCTTTAGGATCCATCATCGTCTTCGAATCGGTCGTCGTGCTCTATCGCCTTCCAATGTGGGGTTCTTTATTTGGTTAAGGTCATCTTTTGATTGGGTTTTGCGTACAGCAACTCACATATTTTTACATATATTAACAGCACACAAAATAGACTTGATTTAGATACACTATTTTAACCAGTAGCTCCTCTCCTAATCGGCTTCCTGGTCTCATGCCTAGTAAATATCGAATTCCATTGTTTATCCCCCAAATCGAGTTATTTATAATACAAAATCATTCCTAATTCCATCTCCTTTTGTTTTATTTCCAGCTTCATAGCAGAACTTTGGCATTTGAGTGCATTTCCAGGCAGATTAAATTATGGTAAGTAATATATTATTGATTTTATTTCCTTTTCATTGTGTGTTTAGTGTGTGCGTGTGTGTGTGTTTGCTTCTGGGCTCCCTTTTGGACCATTTTCAATCGAAGATTTTCCACTTTCCACTTCGATTGCTGTCGATTTGATGGTTTCTTTGGTGGCCAAGAGCCTCCAAGAGCGGGGGAGCTCCATCAATCTTCGTTTTGCAATTGCCCGCCCTTTGGGCTTCCTCTTAACGTGGCTTAAATGGCGTTTAATGGGAATGCACGAAAAACAACACGAGACAAATTTCGGCATTTCACTATGAGCGAGGAAAGCGATTAATTCTGCACCAAACCCCACTCTCCCCCCTCAAAAAAAGAAAAACAAAGAAAAGAAAGTCGGTTTCGGGGCGGAAGCGGGGGCATGCCACAGTCAGTGTCAGCCAGGCGGCAAATGTGTCTTGTAGATGTCCGCCCTCTTGCCACCTGCCCCCCGGCCCCCGGCCCCCTGCCCCATTTGGCCTTGAAGCAGCAGCCGATTGTGTGTGTGTGTGTTTCTGTGGGTGCAAGCAATTTATCTTTCACATTTTCCACTGCTGCGGTTTGTGGCTCCTTTTCTTCGTGCTCCTCCATGCCACTCCCTCTTCCTCCTCCTCCTCCTCCTTCGCGCTCGGCAATTATGCGTAATGCGCATTTTTCTCCGTTGCATACTTCGGTGCGTCGCGGGAGGAGCAGAAGGTTGGGGGCTCCTCCAGGCGGTGGCATGCCAAAAATTAATACAGCCACATTCCTCGGATGCCGCTCTCTCTCTCTACCTCTCTGTGGGGCAGCTTAAGCGTGAGCAATTCCCTGCCTTCGTAATTAAGTTGAACTTAATGGGAAAATGCCATTACCTTCAGTCCTGAACAATGAACAGGGCTACCAGGCGACCACATTTGGAGGATATCTGTGGATTGCAGCCAGAGAGAGAGAGAGAGAGAGAGAGAGAGGGAGACAGGGAGGTCTCTTTAAGGGGGAATATTCAGAATTTTCAAGCAAATTAAAGCCAAAACAATAATTTTTTAGGCTCAATCAATGATGTGTAATTCCCCCCGATTGTTATGTTGAATATTTATTACAAATAATTTAAATATTCGGCCAGAATATTGTAATCCATGTGCTTCCTGTAGAATTTATCTAAAATTCAATTTTCCGCCATGCCATTTATCAATTTGCATGAATTTCCATTGTCCGGGGAGTCCTTCGGTCGCATCCTGGCCACCTGCCACGGCGAATATTTCCGTTGCCTAGTTTCTGGCTGGAACCCGCGAATTTTCCCGCGTCTAATTTCCATTAAACTTGCCTTTGTTGCATTTCGAACAACATTTAAATGGATTGTGGGCGAAAGCCAAACCCCTGGCGGACGGCCTGGGCCATGATTGATTGGGTAACACTGAAAGCCACTTAATGCGGCCAGGCCTCACAACGGAACCCACCTGACCCTTCACCTTTTCACCTGACAGACTGACAGTTGACACAAATTCTAAATTCAAAATTCAATGATGGATGATGGATGGTGGATGGTGAAAAAGCAAAGGCATAAATCCCATGAGAGGCAGTGGCAAATGCGGAGGCATCCCTAAACGTTGCATGGAATTTGTTGAGGTGGCAATTTGCTGTTTAGTATTTCTAGAAATACGAGCTCCAATTGGCTCCCATTCAAGGCCCACTCCACTCCATAAGGACTCGCATTTGGCCCTGTTGCAGCTGCGTCTGTCCTGCCTTGCATAATTATGCATAATCAGATTACTCTGCCATGGAAACCATTAGCCATTAGCGATTGTGTTCTCTGATGGATGAGTAGTTGACTCTTGAATGCTGGATGGATGGGCTCTAGGCCTGGTCTGTGACTCGTTCGCACAACCTGTTAACGAAGAGGCACGAATTGAATGCACAACCCTTCGGGTAATCCGTGGGAATGGTCCCTCGTGCTCGTGCCCTTCCCAAACGAGTGTGTCCGTTCGCTTAGGGGCAATTTGGGCCGACCAGACCAGACAAGAATTGGCTCTGAATGGCTGCCGAGTATAACTTTAGGCCTTCTTTATTCCCATTTGTCGAATCTGTAGTTCTTATGGCTCTCTTTTGGTGTCTCGCTTGCAGGCCTTGATCAAGATGTTGCTGCCGTTGCCGGGCACGGCTAAGGACCTGTGCAGGACCACCAGTTCGCTCTCCAGCCACACAGCCACGTGCAGCTCCTCCCTGAGCCAGGATGAGGCCACCAATGCCGCCAATGTCTGCATCGACGGGACTGCAGACGACTGAAGTGCACGCCCATGCCCATGCCACACCGCAGCAGCAGCAGCAGCAGAAGCAGAGACTACACCAGACCCCGACAGAACCACTTGACCCCGACAGGAGTCTGCCACAGCAGAGGCACGCGACGCCCAACTCGAAGCTCCTGCCGCCCCTGGAGCTGTTGGTAGAGAACAAGATTAGCTACAGCGGCTCGGCCGTCACGTATCACCAGTCGCCAGATCTCAGAGCATCCCCCCAAGCCCATTCCCAATCCCATTCCCGAACAGCCAACAAACGGAGCTCCCTCAGCAGTCCCTCGTCCAGCGAGGACTGTGTGAGTGCCGCGAGGGCGAGCGTATTTGATGAGGCCGCCGAGAGCTTCGTGATCAACTTTCCGGCAGAGTCAGCGGCCGCGTCGCAGCACCAACTGCTGCCCCTGTCCGAGACGGTGCCCCTGCTGACCCACATCGAGGCCACCGTGGTGGACAAGCAGCGGTCGATTCGCCTCAGCAAGAACAGCGCCTCGCTCATCTTCACCAAGAAGGAGCTGGGTGTGGGTGTGGGTCTGGGTCTGGGTCTGGGCCACCACCAGAGACGACAGCACCACAGCAGCCTCTACGGGGCTGGCGGCGAGCGGACGACGCGCAAGACGACAAAGCACTTGCCGCCCACGCGCGGACAGCAGCAGCGGCGCAGTCTGCCGCTTAGCTACAGCCACACGAACGCCAGCAATCTGGTGACCACCGCCGGCGCAAACTACGCTCCCAACGGGGCAGGAGGAGGAGCAACAGCCGCTGCAGCAGGAGGAGCAGGTGGGAAGCTTGTGCCGCACAAGCATCAGCAGCATCAGCAGCATCACGGCCTGGGCCTCACCTCACCCACGGCTACCTCTGGTGTGGGGGGCGCCGCGGCAGGCGCTGGTGGAGGAGGAGGAGGAGGAGGAGGCGCCGTACCGCCCCCGGCCCACACGGCCCGCAAGCAGCTATCCTACTCCTGGTACGCGCCCGTCTACAGTGCCCTCGAGGAGGAGCTCGAACAGGACTCGCGGGTGAGTCGGCGGCTAAGCCACTCTCTGGGAAGAGATTAATCTTTCTTGTTTGTCTTTCTGTTTCCCCAGGACTCGTCGCCAATTCACAATCTGGCCAACACAAAGCAGCACCAACGCTCCGCCAGCCAAAAGGCCCCCTCCGCTTCTGTCTCCCTGCATGCCACGTCCCACCACGAGCACGCCCACGAGGCCGAGACGGTGGCGCTGCTGGAGACGCAGACGCGCAACAAGATCATCATTTCCTCGGCGAATGGCGATGCTGGCGGAGCAAGCAGCCCCAGTGGCGGAGGAGGCGGTGGCGGCGGGGGCGGCGGCTCTGGGGGAGGGCTTGCTCCAGACTTGGAGAGCTCGCTGGGGCTGTCCGGGGGCGGACAGCTGCCACGACGGCGTCGCTTCGAGAACTTTCTCAAATCCCTCGTGGGCCTCAAGGCCAGCAGCAACGGCCGAGAGCGGGAAAAGGATCGGGAGACTGGCCTGCAGCGTCCAGCCTCGCCGGAGATACGGATCACACGCACACCCTCGGAGCAGGACGTGGTCCTCCGGGATCCGGCCGGCCCCCAGCAGCTAGCCAACGGGCATGGGCCCAGGGGCAGCCTCAGCATCAGCGGATCGAGCAGCTCCCTGAACGTGGTCCAGCACAAGCTGTGGCACATCATGCGGCGCGAGGGCAGCGCCAGCAGCCTCCACCAAGAGAAGTCCCAGTCCATTGTCCAGTACACGGGACTGCGCAAATGCGAGACCGTCCTGGCCCTCACACGGCAGGGCCAGAGCCACAGCCACAGTCAGAGTCACAGTCAGGGCCTAAGCCTGTCCCAGAGCCGGAGCCAGGGCCACTCGATGGCCGGCCACGGCAGCGGGATCTTCAGCAGCGCCGGCGTCGAGCAGATACGACCCCTCAATCGGCTGCGGAACAGCGTGAACAGCATCAACGGCCACGGCGGGGGCGGGGGCGGGGCCACCTGCTCCCGCTGCTCCAGCCTGCTGTCCCTGGCGGCCTCCGGGTCGCGCTACTCCCTGGCCAACGGATTCGTAGTTCGCCCGGACTCGGCAGCCGGCACGGAGGAGGAGCAGCCGCACATCAACGTGAATGCCCAGATCCGACTCAGCGGCGGAGCGGTGTCGGCGCCCTCCAGCAGCCCCAGTCCCCCGTCCAATGTGACCACGGCCACGCTCCATTCCAGCTCCAACAACAATCTGTTCCATGCCAAGGAAGAGCATCAGCAGCAGCAGGAGGATGAGGAGGAGCAGCAGCAGCAGCAGCTGGACCAGTCGCCAGCGACTGGCGGGGAGCTCGGTCCGTTTGGCACCAATCATGCCTATCCCTTGACCGTCAGCTCCCTGCTGTCGATGGCCAGTGCCAATCATGCGGCCCAGGCCTGTTGCGTGCGCGACGGCATCACCCTGCAGCGCCGCGAGATGCTCGCCTCCGTGGAGGTCACACCCTCGGCCACGCCCACCAGCACTTTCCAGCCATTCACCTGCAAGCTGTGTCTGACCGACGTGGAGGATGCGGGCGAGGCCATGTCCCTGCTGCAGTGCGACTGTCAGTTCTGTATCGAGGTGAGTAGTCGGGGCGGGCGGGGGACTCCCCCTTAAAGAAAATTCCATAAATATTCAGAGATCCTTGGATTGGAAATTCGATAAGATTCAGCGAGCACATAATCGTAAAAATGGGAAAAAGGGGGAAAAGTCCGCTAAGCCCCAGCCAGGGGATTGTCCTTTCCAAGCACATAGATACACGGCCACACAGATACACCGCCACACCGCTACAGGTGCATATGTTGGCTTTCTTATTGCTTGCGCAGGGGCAGGGGCTGTGGCTGGGGCAAGGGCAAGTCACTGGAGCCCTGGTAAGAAATTGAAAAATGACGCCAAGGCAAACGCAATATTCTTTCGCATCTGCTGGTAGCTGGCAGCTCTCCGCCCAATGAAGGGGGGAGCAGGGATCACGGAGTAGGGTACTGGGAGCTGGAGAAATGTGTGCGAATATATTCTGAATATGTGTATAAATAAACTCGGTCTTGATGGCTTAAATTCAGCTTAAATTGCGACTGCTGTCTGGTCCAACATTCCATTTGGTAATCACCTTTACGGCTTGCCGAGCACTTTAATTATGGCTTCGGTCTACAAACAGAATTGATAAAGTAAACTCGTAAAGGATTCGTTATCCCATCTTAAACTGGTGAATATATCGCTTAAAACCCACAGAAAGAGCTTAAGCGCATATACCACTGCCTGGACCACATTGTCTCATATATTTACACTCTTAGCCATTATAAAATACTCAATACTTGGCCCGTAGGACGGTTAAACAAGCCGCCCGTCTTGCGGCAGCGCCCCTCGGTTCAGATTTTCTTTTTTCCTTAGGATTGCCTGACTAAATACATCGTATGTCGGGTTTGGGTTAATATTTGTTAGATCTTACGAACCTCCTTAATGGAGTTGAGCGCGTCTCTCTCTCTCTCCCTCTCTGTGCACACGAGCGCTGCAATAGAACAGGCAAATGACACGAATAACGGACAGACACGTAAGGGAGAACGCCAAGCCAGCGGAAGATCAGCCACTGAGGACAATCTTACGAGTCGACACATACACGACGATCATAGATCGCAAAGACGTAACGTTCTAGTTGCATGCCTAGAGGCGTTTAGATACTTGTCTGCCCCTGATCGCAGAGTCACGAAGGTGTACGTATATTTTAGAAGGTTTACCTGCGTCAGATCCCAACTTAACCTCCAATGAGGCTGATCTCTCGATGTACGTACGCGCACTTTCAATTACGATCTGTGGATCATGAAATGGTTTCCCCCAATCGGAACATTCAAGGGCTCTTACGATTGCGTCGAGGGGTTCTCATGTTTATTCGTGACTTAATTCAATATTAAATTGCATCTCAAAGATTTCTCAGAATACGTGTAGTATTTCATTAAAACATTCCTAATGGCTTCCCGTCCTGCCATTTCCAAGTAAATATCTTTCACAGCAGGTCAAAAGGTGAAGAAAAAACTTGTCAAAGACTAGGCCAATGATCATCATCGTTTCCATTTGCATCAGCATCCTAGAATTCCTAGAATTTGCATAGCAATTTGCTCATAGAGCAAGAATTTAATATAAAAGATGAAAGCAAGGAAGACGAGGGCAGGCAGGAACAGGTGCGCTTCAAGGCTTTAAGGCTGCAAGGTAACTCAACCGAGATGCTGTCCTTGCAGCTCCTGCTTTGCCATAACGGCGCTCTGCCCCATGCAGCTGCAACACTGGAGCCTCTACGAAGGGAGGCACAAAGTGCATGCAGCATTTTAAATAATTAAGTAAATGATTGGGCCATGGCAGTAGCAGCTCTGGTTGCTGTTGTTGCCATGTGTACCCAAGTCTTTCTTTAGCATAAATAAATTAACCAAAATTCACACGCTTAAGCAGCAGAGAGAGTGCTCTCAGGCCACACGAGACGCGGGCTGTCCCTAAATAAGTGAGTTTCCTGCTGGCTGCAAGTCCACGCACACATCCTGCGAGACGCCGAGAGCAGGTGTTGCGAGAGAGAGTGGACAGGAGAGGCCCTCCTCTGTTCTGGCCTGAAATTGACGGATGGAGAGACATATACTTGGCTGAAACGTGGTCGGATCGCTGGCCGTACGTGAGCTATTGGCCCGGGCCCTCACGTCCTTGGGGCGTGTCCGATGGCTACAGATGTATGGGAGTGTCCTGGCTGCTGTTGGCCGTTTGTCAACTGCTGCCGGGTCAGGGCTCCTTCAGTTTGTTGGCGCTGTTGAGGCATGCCGCAAATTATTGGCAAACATTGGCCATACATTCGCGGCATTCGTCTAATTGAAAAGGCAAAACAAAATTCCATTTGTTTGCTTCTCAATCTCCCCCTCCCTCGGCCCGTCGCTGTCGCTGTCGCTGCCTCCAGCTTGATGCCTGTCTCGCTCCATAAAACATTTTTGATTCACTGAGTTGACAAATTTCCCGTGTAAAAGCAGGGGGAACGGGCGATACGACATCAGCAGAATGGCCAGAACAGCAGAATGACGGGAATACATGATATTCTCGCGTGGAATGGCACGGAGCATGGAGCACGGAATGCCACTCTTGTGCAGCATCATCATAATTACATTTAGTCGAAACACACCCAACGCAAATGGTTGCTAGATGTTCCATCTATTGGGGTATCCCTAAAAGCAGAGACAGCTCTTCACGAGTGAGAAAAAACTCCCTCCGGAGAGAGTTACTGGATCCTGCGGAGTGCAGCGACAAGCGAATGCTCGGCAAGTGCGAAAAAACATCCTATGCACATGCATGTCGTGTGCATGACTTGAATGGAATAAAAACAGAAGACTTCCACAGATTTCCCTGCAATCCCTTGACTTTCTCTGTCGAGTGGGAGTCGCATTCAGCTTTTGTTCAAGCACAGCACTCCTCTTCACATCCTGTTCAAACATTTTGCAACTGGCTTCACCGGGAGCACACACACGCGCCACAAAACACACACTACCCACTACAGTCTCCACGTGCCACTCATAGTTCTCATAGTTGCTGCTCTGCTCGTCGTCATTTGCCTGGCATGGCAGCCCCCCAGGCTGCTCCTCGTGCGCATGAAAAATGGCGACGCTTATTAAACATGCTCCAATGGACAGGCAACGCTGCATCCCAGTCTCATTTCCATCGAGGGCCGGGGGATGAGCAGGGGCCCCTAAACTGGTGGAAATTCATGCGCCAGCGATGAGGTTTAAGCTCTGCCATTTGATGTGCTCGAGGAACGAACGGATTCGTCGCCCCCCAGGAGGTGGCGCCCATCTGTTTGAGTTGGTTACTGGGCTGTGGAGTGTGGAGTGTGGAGAGTCGGAGAAACAGAGAAAGCCTGAGAGAGAGTAATACATTTAGAACAACAAGAGAGACCCTCAGACAGAGGCAAGGGGTATGGGTATCGTATCCACTTAGTGGGTCAGGTCAGACAAAAGAGAACCATCGTCGTCGTCGTCGTCGTCGTCTGGCCTTAATTTCCTGTCCTCTCCAGCACCTTTAGGGCCCCCTTTGGCCGGAGTTTGGGGCATCCGTCCAGGGGTTAAAGCCAGCCCAGACGCCGCAGAGAGGGCAACGTATTGAAAGGCTTGCACATTCCACTTTTGGACGAATATGTGCCTGTTCTTTTGTGAGAAATGCTGAAAAGGCCTCTCCCTGGGGTCTGCTCTCCTATTTGTTTGGCTTACATTCCAACTCTGGGGGCCATACTCATTTTTGCAAATTTGTTTGTTGTTGTGCCTCGTCTGTCCCTTTCATTACTCGGCGATGTGGCAGGATTTCCCTTTCTCTGCTGGGACTCCTTTTTCGTTGCAGTTAATTGAGATGCTCTCCCGCCCGTCCTGCGGTGGCGCTGGCCACAAGCTGAAAAGTAAATTAACACGAAAAAGCGCGCACCTGGAGCTTGGCAGATGAGAGAAGCTGCTGCACCTGCTGACTGTACCCACACACACACACACACACGCCACACACACATCTGTGTGAATGAATGGCATTTACACATGCGAATGGAAGAGGGATGGGGAGGGGGAGGGGGAGTGGGTCTGTACGAAACGAGAGATTCAAAAAGAAAAGCCAAGCGAATCAACTCGCGAGAGCAATTAAAAAGCTCCACAGCAAATTGCTGTCAAGTACTCAAAATTCAAAAGAGAGAAAGCGCCAGAGAGAAGGAGGGGGGGGAGACCGAAAAGGGAGATGGGAGCGAAGCTGGATTCAGGCAGCAAACACAATTACAGAGAAGGATTAATTCGGGGTATACGAACATTGGTCGGAGCTCTAAATCGCATTTGAAGAATATTGAATCTATTAATCCCCATGTAAAGAAATATGTGGGGATGCAGCTCTTGCACTCACAATGCCATTGGTAATTGCAAAAAGCTCCTCCTCCGGAAAAACCTCCCATAGAACTTGTATGGCATCAATCTGGGTTCAATCTAGAAATGCAAATTCCCCATTCAGGGGATAAGTAGCAGAGAAAACCCGACCTTATTCGATTATGGGACTTGGCGGAAGCCCGTAAAGTGTCGAATATAACTCCATTCAAGGGCGTAGTGAGTGCACCCTTGGATCTAATTTGAAATCATTTCCATTTACTGTTTCATTTAGACTTGGGTACATTTACTAGCAACAGAGCCAAGAAGCCCCCTGTAGATACACTCAGGCCTGGCAGTGGAAATTTACGACTGCCGGCTAGAGAGAGAGTGGCTTTAAGGGAAGACATTCCCTCTATGCGGAGTCCCAACATTTTAACATTTTCCGGAAGAACGGGAAAACAAATAAAAAGCCAGAGAGCACGTGACTGGCATGGACCAAACAAAAAAGTGCTTGTAATATGTAAATGTTTATGGCCGAAGAGACTCGCGAAAACCGCACCCGAAGCGGCTGCAGAGGGAGGGGCATGGGCAGGGGCAGGGGCAGGGCCATGGGCAGGGGCACCCCTTGGCCTGCTCCCCGACAGGCAAAGGCAGGCGGAACTCTGGGGCCCCCCGAAAAGGGGTGCCAGCAAAAGCAATTTCCGCTCGGGTCAGGCAGCGTCACTTCCCCTT